CGAAATTCCGGGATTTAGAAATTCGGAGATTTGGGAATTCGGGGATTTGGAAATTTGGGGACTTAGAGATTTGAGAATTTGGGAGTTCAAGAACTTGGAGATTGGAAAGTTTGGAGCTTCAAGAATCTAGAGTTTTAAAAATGTAGAAATATAAGAATTTGGAAAACATAAAAATTTCTAAATTTCTAATATCAAATACGTGAACAGTCCTACATCCCACGTCCCTACGTAATTACAAATCGTATTTCGTTCACCATCCCTAGCTACGTCCCTGTCCTCACCCTCTTGATAGCGATCGGAAAACGGACGTTGAGAAACGGGTGCTTTTAATAGAACAGACAGGTGGCGGAAAAATGAAATGCAATCAACCCATGTTTGATAACATAGATTGTTATCTCCTAACTACACATTACTATTAATCCTAATCACTAATTCCCGTGTTAAATTTCTCATTTGTCTCCATAAACATTAAAACATGATCCCACATAAAATATCATTGTAACACTTTTTTTGTCATGCAAAAAATTTGCTCGATGAAATGAATTCGTCAACCCACATTCATGGTGGTATTTGCATACGTTAAAAAGAAAATAATTTTTCTTAATCCTTTACACTCCACTTGCGCCGTTACTGTGAAAGGTGAATGTAATAATGGCTCCGCCACTCTCCTCAATAAACTGAAATAATCGTTTCGTTTTAAAATTCAGAAGGTCTGAAATATTTGGTTGCTCGATTTAGATCAAGCACACGGTTGAGGAGTCTAACAGTACCGTAAAAAAGGTTGATATTAAAGAATTATTCTGTAGATAAATCAACGGCAATTACTTATAGTTATATAGTTAAACGATAATTATGACCGTTTTGATGTATCGCAACTACAAAGGAAGTGATTTCGAATCGGCCATTAGTGTTCGTTGGAATACAATAAAGCAAATACATATTTATACAGCGCAACGGATATCTGTAACGATGCACACCTGTGCAAAAAGAGAACAATGATACTTTACCTAGACTATTGGGTTAATCTTGAATATTCGGTTTGTAGGTTTAAAGCGCAACTTAATATCCCAATTAACAAGAGTTTCAGCAATCCCATTAACCTATACTTTCCATTCAAATTAAACGTCATAAAAACTGAAAAGTTTCAATCTTGAAAAGATTCAAATCGTACGAAATGGAGTAAAACAAAATAAATAAATAAATCTTCATTCCTGGAATATCAAAGTAAACTAGAATTCCGATCATCTGTCTGAAATGGAGTAATAAATTCCTTTCATCGTTTCACTATTTGCGAAGTCATCCCACAATTTTCTGGATATAATCCGAATATCGGAGACGTGCAAAAGAACGTGGGAGATGCAAGGTGGCCGATAGTGTAGCAAGAATATCCCGGCCTCGTGAAATGACCAGCTACGGTTAGCAATTTGCCCCAAGTTCGCTTTTACGGCCACAGAATGTTTCATGAAGTTCCACCGAAGCTATCCCGCGTAACGTGTCGGTCGTTACACGGTTTCCCGGAAAATCTTACGATCCGAAGACGCTCGACAAAAACACGCGTAACCTGTCGATTTTCAACCCCCGTAAAAGATAACAGTAAATTATTGATCCGTTATTTCTGAACGGGAGAGTCACGATCTTGTCCGTTCGGGATTACACAAATCGGTCCCGGTGTTAAAGCAATTCCCGTTGAAGGTGATCTGACAATGCTTCTGCGAGTTTCGAGTATCGTCAAACACTGGGAATCTCATTAAGACTATCGATACCTGGTTACGGAACTTCCGTTACGTAACTACCTACGCCAAATTCTATCAACCTATAACAATTCGATGTCTGAACATAATGGGAGGAAAGTTTGATGGAACATTGTATTCTGACGGATTAACATGGATTGTGTGATTATTTGCATGTGTTGGGTTGTTACGTGCTGGATTTCTATGTTAGATCATTGTATGATTAGTTTCTGTGCGTTTGGTAACCTCGGGTTGGATAATTGCGCGCTGGGTAACTACGCGGTGGGTAACTACGCGTTAGATAACTACGCGTTGAGTTACCACGCGTTGGATCTCTAAGCGCTGGATAATCACGCGTTGAATTACCACGCGATGGATAACCACGCGTTGAATTACTATGCGTTGAATTACCATGCGTTGGATTACCACGCGTTGAATTACCACGCGTTGGATTACCACGCGTTGAATTACCAAGCGTTGGATCTCCAAGCGCTGGATAATCACGCGTTGGATCTCTACGCGTTAAATATCTACGCGTTGGAGAACCACGCGTTGAATTACCAAGCGTTGGATCTCTACACGTTAGATATCTACGCGCTGGATAACCACGCGTTGAATTACTACGCGTTGAATTACCATGCGTTGGATTACCACGCGTTAAATTACCACGTGTTGGATTACCACGCGTTGAATTACCACGCGTTGGATTACCACGCGCTGGATAACCACGCGTTGAATTACCACGAGTTGAATTACCACGCGTTGGATTACCACGCGTTGAATTACTACGCGTTGGATCTCTACACGTTAGATACCTACGCGCTGGATAACCACGCGTTGGATCTCTACACGTTGGATATCTACGCGCTGGATAGCCACACGTTGAATTACCACGCGTTGAATTTCTCCACATTAGATATCTACGCGCTAGATAACCACGGATTCAATTACCAAGCGTTGGATCTCTACACGATAGATATCTACATATTCTACAACCACGCGTTGGATCTCTACATGCGAGATACCTACACACTATACAACCACGCGTTGGATCTCTGCAAGTTAAATATCTCCTTGCTATATAATCACAGGTTGCATCTCTACATATCATATGTACACGTCGATGACCAAGCACTAAATCTTAGTAAGTTTATCACACGTTAGATGTATAGACTCCCACCTGCGTTAGCCTTTTACAGTATAGCTCACATTTGAATAATAATGTATGAATATAATAGCGAATAATGTCACAGTAGAATAGTAAGATAATAGTATAGTAGAATAGTAGAACAGTGTTAGAGAGGAATACTGAAATAATAGAATACTCGATCATTGCCAGAACTGACCACATGTGACTGCTTGATCCCTAACCTCGAGCCCCGAGGTAATAAAGCCAAATAATTAATAAGGTCTTACGCCAGACCCACGTGCAATTTGGCCAATTCTGCAGATGCGTAATTCTTGCATCTTTAAATAGAATAAAACTTGCATATAACAATTTTTCATCCAGAATTTACAGTAACCTGTCCCAACTTCCTCACATTGCAAGTTTGTTCATTCACACAAATATAGTCATCACCATGTTTTACTTTATGTATACCATACTGTCTGTAAATACTGTCTGTGTGTATAATACTGTCTATAAATGCTGTCTGTGTGTATTGTCTGTAAATGATAAGTGGCAACTTAGGGATGAGGTGAAGGTACAAGGTAGAAATTCGCTTTATCGCCCGTAATTGCCAGTTCGAAGACCATGGATCCCACGCAAGTCGCAAAAATAAAAAGAAAAGTGTTCGACAAGAAGTCGAACCACCGTCGTTCTTCGCGAGATCGAAGTTCCATCCTCGTATACTGTTACCCGCTCGGCGGTGTTCGGACACTTCTTGCGGCTTGATCTTCCGCGTGCGTGCCTCGTGTACGAAGTCGCTGAAATGGCGATCGATGCCCCTTTACAGGGAGTAATATGCCAAGTCCAGCAGTCGACTCGTCTGATAGAGGCCGCCTTGTTGTACATGGCGCGATCGAACCAGACGAGTTGACGGTGCTAGCCTCGGGTTAAGAAGCAAGGCCGGACAGTGATTGACACAGAGATCTTCTTCGTTCTTGCTTACGGTATCCTGTCACTTCAGCTCCATAGTTGATGGACGCGAGGATCGGTATTAGCGACAAGAAACGATACGGCGATTTCCTACTTGATAACCGTGTACGCTTTAATAAAATTCTAGTGTCCCTCCATTACTACTTTTATTGCCTTCTCTCCGCATTTTCAACTGTGTCGACTACCAACTTCACACAAATCTGTTAAAACTTTATTCAGTTTTAGATATTCGTATTAATTACTCAGGACTGTAAATAATAAATACAGAAAAATATTGTGAAAATTTTTGGTAAGATTTGTCAACAATAAAAATACTACTTAATACATTTTTTAACTGTTCTGTCAGACAACAGAATGAGGGCAAATTTTTTCTGACTGTCCATTTGTCTACCTTCAAATCAGAAACAGAACCGATTTCCGCAATGAAATTTACACAGTGAATAACATGGTCAGAATGTGTCTGTTTGATCTTGATATCTCAAGCGCTCTGAAGTTAGATTAGTAAGATCATATCTTATTGAGCAGAATGTATCCGCTAGCTGATGAATATAATCTCACCGAGCATAATTTCAACTCAACGGTGAATGCACAAAATAAATTTTGTTCCAACCGTTTTCTTTTATCCGATCGTTTAATCCATATCGACCAACTTTCTATTATAAATTTTCTGAAGATGTTCACTTCGTATGTTCACTCGATCATAGTTCACGTTGAATCGTGCAGTTCGACATTTAGTATCCTTGAAGGTAAAATTGAACCCACTATTTTCTTCGTTATCTCCAGTCGAATTGGGTCGAATGCATCGAAGAAACAAGGAATTGTATCCTCTAAGTCTTCGGACCATAGTTCAAAATATACGTGTAATAGGAAGATGGTTCGTAGATTATCTGTTCGTGCCATCGGTTGACCTAAATTAACCGACCTTTGTACGACATTGTATCATGTTCATATTCGTTATCTAAGCTTGTAATAAATATCATATAGCGTTTATTGAGTACTCTGTGTAAGTTGATATATTCAATATATCGTGTATTAACACTTAAAGTGTATGGGCACTTTATATGTACTCATATGGACCACATGGGTGATGGACTTTACTGAACTGAGCTACTTAGCTTCTATCTCGCTTCTACTTGAATCTGTCTGGATAAATAATAGGAGAGCTTTGATCCAATTCTTCTGTATAGTTTACTTAATGTACTGTACAAAAACATATGAAATACACATATGTAGTGTGTACTGGTTTGAATGACATAAGCTATTTAGCAAGACTGCTAGATCTTATGGTAGATCGGTAGACATCTAGCTTATGTGACAAATAAAAGAGTATCTTTGGTCCAACTCTCCTCTACAATTTGATGTATTTAATATACTATACAATAACATATAAAGTACACATATGTAGTGTGTACTGGTTTGAATGACATAAGCTATTTAGCAAGACTGCTAGATCTTATGGTAGATCGGTAGACACCTCGCTTATGTGACGAATAAAAGAGTATCTTTGGTCCAACTCTTCTCTACAATTTCATGTATTTAATATACTATACAATCACATATGAAGTACACATATGCAGTGGTTTGAATGACATAAGCTATTTAGCAGTCTGCCTAGCTTATCTGACAAATAAAACGAAAATATCTTTGATCCAACTCCTCTCTACAATTTGATGTATTTAATATACTATACAGTAACATATGAAGCATACGTGTAAAGTGTACAGTGGTTTGAATGACATAAGCTATATAGCAGTCTACCTAGCTTATCTCACAAATAAAACAAGAGTATCTTTTGTCCAACTTTCATGTACAAATTGATGTATTCAAAACACCATACAACACCATATAAACTACATCCCTGAAGTGTACAGTTCGCTATTTAGCTCTAGTCTACCGTCTTTTCTTCAAACAAAGAATATTTCCACCATCACCAAATACCAGGTAAGAGCTTCCTCGTAATCGTCGTTTTCGCTGATTGGCAAATCGCAAAGCATATAACACAATTACGATGATTGCATAAGGCGCGAATCGAAGCAGCCAGGCAGCTGCATAGAAAAGTCGCGAAGCGGAGGATTGAATCATCGTCGAATCCGCCAGGCATATGGATCCGTTAGTCCACGGTACCGCGTACGATATTACGGCATTGTAATGCTCGATACGCGATCGGCCAGAAAAGGGACGTCGGGACGTGACGGCAATCCGTAGTTCAGCTTCGCCAAAAGTAGCGCCTTGTACCGTTCGGATTAGTTACCATCTTTTTTACGGGCGCCCATCTCTTGCGCAAAAATGTATCTGCGAGTTGCAAAAACCTCTCTTCTCGCTCGGTCGTGCATCGTACAGCTGTAGCTCGTTAAAAAGCTGGACGAGCAAAAACTCTTCCGCGTCGCTGCTCGATCTTCTGAAAATTATAAAACATACCGGGGTCCTTGGCTTTCTTCGTTCGCTATGTTCAACAACTTCATTTTAGCTTTTTAGTCGTTGGACTCGTAACTCTGCGATTTTGGGAATTTGCACAAATTTCAGGGAGAGAGTGAATTTGGAAAAGAATCTCAAACTTAGACAAAACAAAGACTTAGAATGTCAAGAATGCAGGAGTTCAAGAATTGGAAAATTTAGAAACTCTGAAATTTCAGAATCCAGGAGTGTTCAGGAATTTTTGAATTTGAGAATTTGTGACCTGAAAATCTTGGGACCTATAGAAATTAGAATCTTCACAGCTCTGTAACTTCAAGGATTTGAAAGTTTGAGGTCTTATTTAAAAATCGTGAATCTTCAGAAACAGTGAATCCATCGTTCTCCTCCTAACTGAAAGGCAGCGAATCTCGTTAATCCAATTGGATTAACGTAGATTAATTAAAGCAAGACAAATATCTAAGCACGGATTTGTTTCGTTCCGCGAGCAGATGGTACAGCATGGTGAAAGCGGAGAGATGTTTTTCAGTGACTCGGTGATACGCAATCAGCGATGCGATTCTTCGCAGGATAAATAAGTGTTTTTCTTCCGATGGAACGAGAGTCAATTTCCCGGCATGTACAAAAGAAGAGCGTCGCGATTAGATTCTTTATCAACGGACCACCGCGATATGTTCTGCTAACCGCACGATTTCCGTCGCTAATCACGACTCAACGTTTTCCAGCATCGAGAAAGCGAACGAGAAAATACCAAATGGTCGCACGTCGTCGACCCACTTTGATCTACAACGGCCCATTTGTCCTCGAATGATCGCAAGAACCGAATTGGCACGAATCGTGGCACTCAAACTGGGTCTAATGATTATCAAAAAGTACGTGATCGCTTTATCGTCGATTCGACTTACATCGATTCCTTCGTTAAATAAGAGTATGGTCTTATAAGTTCTTACGTAAACATTAAGGTAACATAAAATTCGTGTCCAACCACATTGACTCATCGTTCAGATTTTTCTCCTGAATCGAAATTGCTTTTTGCTGGAATGTTTTATTTTTGCTAAATGGGTACTGATTATTCATAACCAGAAATAGAGCCACTATCTTTCTACTTTTAGATATGCTCAAATTTATATGACTATCATTTACTTCTTTAGTTAGATGATGAAGAGGTTCACGCGCTAAAAAGCATGAAGAATACGATGCAGCACGAATAAAATAATATATATATTAATATAGAGAGAATAAAATGTATCTTTAATTGCATTTTCTCTAATTTTAACTAACTTGCAATTAATTTTTTTTACGAGCATCAGGGAATAATGTTTTTTAAGTTCCTTCATATGTCAGTAAACTTTATGCAGATCGATGATTGAAGATGAAGATATTTTTTAAGTATCTTTAACGAATGTTCATGCATATAGATGAGGGAGATCGATGGGTATCGAAAGATGCGGTTCACAGTTTCGTATGTGTGCTTCAACCCCTCCCTAACATGTGATACTATTGCACCTCTCACATGACGCTCATTGCATTTCAAATGTGACGAACTCCTATTTTCACCACGTTCTTGAGTTCAATTGTAATGATAATCTACGTGAACATAGATCGTCAAATATTCCTAACATAACTTTGTATATCGCGCAGCAAATGGCGAATTACAGGTAAAAGTGGTTTGGCAGCCACAAAACGTGCAGCAATCCAAATGCGAAACGAATAATCTATCAGTAGACAAAACGTGCGTCTATGGGAATTGGGGCGACGGTGGATTCCTGGAAAGCGTGAAAGGAACGCGAATGATTTCGATGATCGTTCCCCGGATCGTGGCTTCGACAGGCAATAACTTCGTTCCGGCGTAATAAATATCTCGAGCGAGGAGGGCTCGAAGGCACCTGATCGAGGAAGACACCGTCAACTCTATCTCTTCCTTTTCTCTCCTTTCTTCGCCAGGCTACTTCGAGGAGCTTCCGCGAAGAGATTTCTTGCCTCTCTGCAAATTAAATGACCGGCCGTGGTCGGCGAAAGTGGAGCAACAGTCAGGAACCAGGGAAAAACGAGCATCTTCGAGTTAAGTTGATCGCTAGATAAAAGGATGATGTCGGAAAAATCTTTGATGGATCACGCGTGAAGTTCTGGCTTCGTGTACGAAAAAGGCTTTCGATGTCCAAAACCGATCTACCTTTTGCGGAAGTTAGCGAAGGCTTCAGGAATTCAAATGAGAATGGATCAATCTTGAACCGGGGAGGTAACAAACCTTGCGGGATTTGGTTTGCAAATCTTGTTGGTTTGCCAAACGCCGAAGACTGCAAATTCTTCGAATCGACTAATCATAAAATGCTACCTGATCTGAATTGTATTTCTGGGATTTTTAGAATTTCAAATTCGTAGATTCAACTATTGGAAAATTTGAAGATTTAAATCTAGGATGAACATGCAAATATTTGGAGATTAAAAATTGAAAGATTCAAGAGTTAGAGAACTGTCTCTCGATTAAAAGTGATCTGTGCAAACAGTAAATGTGCACTCAGAAACCATAGACATGTCGAGTGAAGTCTTTAATTCCCACAACCCTTTGTAAAACGGTACAAAGAGAATTACACGAGTTATAAAACCCATGAAACGTGTAGACGTCAGAGCGTTGAAACGTTCATTACATTATCGAGGAGGTAATCGATATTTTACGTGCACGGTATAATCTCTTCCAGCTGTAATCGCGAACTGGCCAGCAGTTCCGTTATAGTTTCTCGTTTCAATAAAAACGTTGTTCAACAACGAAGCGCTTCCTTCTTAGAAATCCAAAGAGGGTGGTACAATGACGTGCCAAGCGGACAATCGTCCCCGTGTGTCTTTAATCTTGGGGAATTAATCCGTTCGTATCGCATCTCGCCTGCTCTGCTGGTATCTCGTTGCTCGACGAAAGCTGAATCAGCATGAGGACGCTGGAGAAGTTGTTGCACGCAGAATTTCATTGTCTTTCGTTAAAAGAAGTCTAATAGAGTGGGGTATTTTGATCATTTGGTTGTTCCAAAATTTTTAAACTCGTCAAACTTGTCAGTCAATCACTGCAAAAGTTAGAAGCTTGATAATTTGACCACTTGGTCATTTGAAAATTTTAAAACTCGTCAAACTTATCAGTCAGTCTCTGCAAAAGTTAGAAGCTTGATAATTTGACCACTTGGTCATTTGAAAATTTTAAAACTCGTCAAACTTATCAGTCAGTCTCTGCAAAAGTTAGAAGCTTGATAATTTGACCACTTGGTCATTTGAAAATTTTAAAACTCGTCAAACTTATCAGTCAGTCTCTGCAAAAGTTAGAAGCTTGATAATTTGACCACTTGGTCATTTGAAAATTTTAAAACTCATCAAACTTATCAGTCAGCCACTTGAAAATTTAGAAGCTTGATAATTTCACCAATTGGTCATTTGAAAATTTTAAAACTCGTCAAACTTATCAGTCAGTCTCTGCAAAAGTTAGAAGCTTGATAATTTGACCACTTGGTCATTTGAAAATTTTAAAACTCGTCAAACTTATCAATCAGTCTCTGCAAAATTTAGAAGCTTGATAATTTTACCACTTGGTCATTTGATAATTTTAAAACTTGACAATTTATTGCAGATATTTAAAAATGTAGGACTTCAACATCTGACCAACACCAAATTAAACTGCTTCCATATCACCACATGTCACAAAGCCAGACGCAAAAGCTAACCCTGAAGGTAGACAAAAGCAACGTACATCACCGCAAAATAAATCGTAATAGAATTAAAAGGATATTACAAATGGTGAAGTAGCAAAAATCGAATACAATCGGACACTAATTTAGCTAAATCCAGACGTTCTCGCAAAAGAATGACATTAACCGCGTTATCTTGAGTATCCTTTTTTAATTCTTGACAATAGAGTAGCTTTTCTCCGGGCGTTTCTTGAAGCAGGGATTAAAGGATCGAAGAAAGGTTGCCCCCTCGTTAGTTCCATCTCCTTGATTAAATTGGCCCTGCATCTGGCAGCCGAGTCGTTCGCCCCCGTATTTTGCTTTGATCGCCGGAAAGTCGGCGTCCGTGTCTCTTGCTTGAACATTCTGACGCATCGTTATCGATCGGGCACAGTAAGATTCTTTAATGAAGAAATATCGTCCGTGTCGTTGAACGAAGAAAATGTACCTTAACCTATTAACCTGGTCATTGTTCAAGCAGAAAGGAATTATTTCTCACGCGCCTAGCGAAAGATTAATGTAGAAAGATAGATTTATCTTGTTTGCGATCTTTCGTTTAAAAATTTACAGTTCGAGCATATTGTCACGACTAACCCAGACATAAGGGGGTTAAAGACTTTCTCTTAACAAACGCATGCTAATTTTCCACGTGTCTTTCGCTCCGGGGAACAGTTAATACGTTAACCTTTACGTTCTTCCGAGATAAGAAAGTAACACGCTAAGTTATCTTGTTCCGGATACGTACAAGTCGAACGAAATAATTCGCTAAATATCGCGAACCGCAAACATTCCGAGCAAGATATAGGCGTGACCGACGCTACCCCTTTTAAAGCTTTCACCGAACTACGCTTTGATACGCCGGGAATTAATTACTACACGGTATCCACATTTTCTTGGTACAGCAATTTACATTCCGAAACTGATCATCCAAATGTTTCAATTTTTACATACAATTAGATACTACAAACATTTCTGAATGTTCAAATCCACAGAATTGCTAAATCTTGACTTTCCCAAATTACCAAAACTTCAGAAACTATATTCTCAAGTTTCTTACAAATTTAAAGTTTCTGTGCAAACTTGCAACTATGCTTGTACGACTGTGTCCAGACCGCTCCAGAAAACTCGAGGGTCATATACCGAGATAATTTCGAACAAAATCGATTCCCAGCACTTTCAGCACAATAATAAAAGAAAAAATATCCACAATGTAGAGAATAGAGTGGTTTGAAGCAACCGAATCGAAACAGATTTGCGCATCTATTCCGTTGTACGGTAA